TATATATATTTTATTTTCTGTAATTTCAGATTAAAAGAAGCTGGAGAAATTATTATAAAAACTATGAACGATTATTGGGTTGTTGGAAAATTATCGAATTTGAGAGAATTCTTTGTAGTTATTCAACAAAAAAGTGCAAGCATAATGGAAATAGAAGGTATACATACATTCTATACAGGGTGTCTGGTAACTGATGGTACAATAAGCAGAAATTGTTTCAATATTTTAAAAAAGTCGAAGAAAAAACAATACAATTTTTTCGTCTTAGCCTTTATTTTTTAGAAAATTGCAATTGATGGTTCATTAAACGTGTATTCTTTTATTCGAGTTCTAATGCAACGAATTTCATTATAGACTGTATCTATTCATGTTCATAAACATTTCTAGTATTTTTACATCCATGTTAAGTAAATCGAATAGTAAAATAATACAAAAGATAATCTGCACTAAATTCACACACTCCGTGAATTTTCAAATTTAATTTTCTTGAAAGCTAAGTCGCATAAAAAAAAAACTTTATTCTTCCCTATCGACTTATTTTTAAATATAGAATTACCTCCTGCTCACTTGTACCACCAGTTACCGGACACCTTGTATATCTTATGATCTACAATTTAGAATTGTATAAATAAAGATAATTTTCATTTCAGAGGACGTGAAAAAACTTTGTGAAAAAGAATTAAAAAGTATATTTTTTCATTAATAGAAAAATTTCATGAATCTATTACATATAAATGTTCAACGACTATTTTATATAACGATTAAATAGTTGTTTACTCTTTATATATAATCTAAAAAGCAGCATTGTAATCATAGAAGTAATTTATACATCAATTTTAATGTAAAATATAAAATCTGTACATACAAATTATATATTTTTAATATATTTAAATTGTTTAAACGGCATTTATTTTCAAATATTATAATTATAAAAATATTAATTTACTTTAATGTAACTCATTATCATTAATCAAAAGATACTTCTTCTGCTTTATTTTTGTGAACAATGTTGGAGAACTTTTTTAATTTCGCTACGAAAAATCCATCCATATTATGTACATGAGGATAAAATCGTTTAGTTAATTTTAATGAAGGATGAAATCTATACTGCCTATAACTTGTGAATCCTTCCGTGCCAAATTCTAATCCAGTTGGTATTAATTTAACATCACGTTTTCTGAGAGCATAATCAATAACCCATTCATTTTCTTCTGGAAGAACCGAACATGTAGAATAAACAATAATACCGCCAGATTCCGAACGTGCATTGGCACAATCTATCGCTGCTAAAAGTAATTCTCTTTGTAATGTGCAACAACGCTGTATATCTACTTCATCCTTATTTGTTTTAACACTTGGATCTTTTGAAACAACGCCAGTACCGGTACATGGTGCATCCAATAATACTCTATCGAAACCTTTAATAACCTGAAAATGAATACATATTAATCATTATGCTTGTATTATATATTTACCATATTTGTGCATGTAAATGTTACTTACTGATGGTAACTTTCGTCCATCATATGTACAAACTACAGAATTCATTATACCAAGTCTATGAAAATTGCCAACTACAGCCTTTATTCTTTCTTCATTAACATCATTTGAAAAAAGTACACCTGTATTTTTCATAAGTGCTGCTATGTGTGACGATTTTCCTCCTGGAGCAGCACACATATCAAGAATCCGTTCATTTTCTTTAGGATCTAAAGCCATAACAGGAAGAAAACTGGATGCACCTTGTAAAATATAATGTCCTGCTAGATATTCTGGCGTCGCACCCATAGGAACTTGTGAAGAATAAACTACTAATCCAATTTTTGTCCATTTGCCAATAGGATCTAAATTAACTCCTCTGTTAATCAGAGCCTAAAATATTAATATTATAATAGAATAAAGGATACATAAAATATTTATCACACATTCCATTTAATAAATACCTCAGCTATGTCACGACGACGAGTCTTCAGTACATTTGTACGTATCGTCATAGGTCTCTGAACTTCACTTGCTTCCAAGAATTCTAACAATTCGTCTAATGAAAATATTTGCATCAGTTTCTCCATCAGAAAATTGTTATAACTATAGTATGTACATAAATCTTTTCTAAGGAGGTCCATATATTCAGAACGTGATCTTAAAAAAAAAAAATGAAAAATGAAAAATTTCTTAAAATTTTTCCATCAAATAAGGTTTTAAGAATATCTTAAGATATATACCTAAGATATATCTTAAGATAATTCTAAAATAACCTAAAATATATACCTATTTACATCACGTAATCTTTTAAAATCAGATAATACCATAACAACATCTTTTATACGTTGTTGTATATCTTTCAGGTTAGTAACATCTGTAAGTTCTTCTTGAGTGGGAAAAGTAAATACATATTGTTGTGCAGTCATGTCATGCATTTCCTCTTCTGCTAACTTTCTATATAAAGAAAAAAAAGATATGACTTTAAGTATTAAGTTCAATATAATAATAAGTAATTCTTACTGTTCTTCTTTTTGTTTCTTTTTTAGCTTTTTATTTGCTTTCTCGATAGGAAGTAAATCAGTATCATCATTATTAGAACTATCGGTATCCTCTTCTTCTTCAGTTTGGTGGATAATTTGTTCATCGTCTATTTCTCGATTTTGACTACATTTATCATTAACATCAAATTCTACATCACTTTCAATAACATTATCTTCTCCCTCTGAATCACTGTCAAGTAGTTTCTTTTTTGTAGATGTTTGTTGCTCAACTAGCATTGTTTTTTCATTATCAGATATATCAGTATCATTGTCAAACTCCATTTGATCATTTTCATGATATGAATTGCCATTTACATGTGGTTCTTTCTCAAAAGATTTCCTTTTCTTCTTTTTCCTTAATTGTTTTGTAATATTTTTTACATCCTAATACAATAAAGATATATATTAATAATATTATTATATACAAAACTTAAATATTAAAAAAAAGAAACTTACATTTCCATCCTCAGTATCCTTTAACTTACTATCTTTTGTCTGGTGCAACTTTTTTAATTTTTCATTTAAACTTTGTTTCAATAATGACCTTTTCCTTGCTCGTTGCTTTTGTCTATGACTTAACTGTTTTTGTTCTTTTACTGAAGGCAATAAAAATGTAAGGTAAAGTAAAGTAATAATGGTTAATAATATGTAAAGTAATAATGGTTAATAATAATAAATGGTTAATAATAATAATTTATATTTTTTTATAATCAATGAATATACTTAAAAATTACATAGGGATAAATTTATAACTTTTCATACCAAGTACTCCTTTAGGAAATGTTGGATCCCCTTGCTTTTTTGCTTTCCTTCCACGACCACTCGTAACAATTATTCCATCAAACTTTGCTTTTCGTCCCATTTTAATATATTTTAAGTAATGATTGTTATTAAAATATCAAATTTTTATACTAAGTAAAACATAAAACTTTGTGTTCATTTATACACTTTAAAATATTGTATATAAATTATTGATTTTCACATTTCTTATAACATTATATTTAAGTAAAAAAAAATGTAATCAAAGGTCAAGAAATGCTTTAATTTGTTTAAGAACACGTGAGTCATAACCTATCTTTTCTATTTATTATTTAACTATACGTGTACACTACCAACTTAAAATATGAAGGTACTATATAAAAGTAAAACATCATTTTTTTTTTGATAATGTAAACCATTAAAAAAATATATAAATATTTGTGTAACATCCAAAATGTACATTCATATAATTAATCGTAAAAATAAATTCTGCAGAATAGATTATTATATAAAATATAAATAAATTTTATATTTCGTTAAATGTCCCTATAATAAAATGTTAAATCGTGTCCTCAAAAATACACGTGTCCTGTAAATGATGTTTGATTTATTATAAGAATTATTATTTTTAAAAAATACATGTTATCAAATAAAATGGGAATAGTAAAACAAGAAATACATCGGCCAGGTGCATTTAAGCAAATCAATAAATCACATAAAACAGGTAGACATCGTAGTAAAGGTTCAATAAGTAGTGATGCTAAAGGTAAAATTCTTTGCACCATAATACATTATTCAATTTTGTAAATGGTTTATATATTTAAAATTTTTTAATATACAATTTATTATCGATATAGGAAAAGTTGGAATAAAGATTTTGTCGAAACGCGCTACTAAAAATCTTGGAAAAAATGCCCGTAGACTTCAATCTTCCCAAATTAGAAAAAACAAGAGAGAAGAAGTGTTGCAGCAAAAAAGAAATTTAGGTGGCATTCATTCTGCACCTTTTCTTATATGCATTATTCCATTACAAGAAGACTTACATATTGAAAATATATTATCAATAATAACAAAAGCAGATGAATCTGCAACTGTCATTAATAGTCCATGTGGTACAACACATTTAAGGTATAATGCTAGGATAATAAATAATGTTAATAAATATATGATTTACTAATTTCTTTATAATAGTATACCAAGGTTTAAACAACGTTTTTCCATTGTTGTACCACCAGTTGGTAACTTATTTGCAACATTAGACATAGCAAAAATAGCTACAACTGTTCTTTTTGTTGTATCTGCTATAAATCAGTCTAATAATAGTCCCAGAGTTGAGGTAATTGATAATTGGGGTAAAGAAATTATTATGCCTTGTGTTGCTCAAGGCTTGAGTACTCCCATTGTAGCACTTACAAATGTTGAAAGTCTTCATATAAAGGTATTATATTTATGACATTTATTTTAATACTTTCAAATATAATTTTTATTATTTTATGAATTTTATTATAGAAACGACAAAATTATAAAATCCATGTGCAATCAGAAATTTCAAAGTGGCTTCCAGAGGAGAAAGTTCTAGAATTGGATACATCTATTGATGCTTTTAATATTTTACGACGCATTAGTAGCCAGAAACAAAGAACTGTATCTTACAAGAATAAAAGAGCACATTTGTTAGCAGAAGAAGTGAAGTTTAAATGTAATGAAGTAAGTATTAATACAATTATTATTTATGTATACTTTTATATAAATGAAAACATTGACTTATGTACATATCTTTTTTAGAACTCTACAGAACTTGGAACTCTTATGATCTCAGGATATCTTAGGGGTGTATCATTATCAGTCAATGGTTTAATACATATACCAGAATTAGGAGATTTTCAAATGTCACAGATAGATGCTCCCGAAGATCCTTACCCAATAGAGAAAAAATTAAGAAAACATTGTAATGCGATGGATGATGAGCCAACCATCCGAGTTCTTGAACATGCAGATTCAAAAAAACAAGTAATTGTATAAATCAAAATGAGACTATAATTCTCCAATTTTAATGAGCGTAATCAGTTTTGAATCTTTTATTTATTTAGGAATCTCTTGAAAGTGAAAATATTCCTGATCCTATGGATGCTGAACAAACTTGGCCTACAGAAGAGGAACTAGCTCAAGCTAAAAGTACTCAAAAAAGAAAAATTGTAAAAAGAGTTCCAAAAGGAACTTCTGAATATCAAGCAGCTTGGATTCCTGATGAGGATGGAGGTATTTTATCTGAAACCTGAACATGAAATTTAGAGATGTATGAGGTACGTCTTTAGATAATTTATAATTTTGTAGAGGAATTGAGTGAGTATTCAAACGATGAATCAGAAGACCAGATGTCTGTTGATGAAGCAAAATCTCAACCAGATAGTGAAGTAGAAGCAGATGAAGACGATGAAGAATACGAGACAATTACTGTATCCGAAACTCCCGATGCACGATATGATCAGAATGTTGATATGACGGAAGAGAAAGAAACAATGGAAAAGTTGAAATGTATGTTCATTATTTTATATATATATATATATATCTTTAATATCTTCTGTATTAACATTTTGAACCAATAATATATCTTTAATTGATTTCAAATAAAGGCGCAAAATTAGATGCACAATTCCCTGATGAAGTGGATACACCTCAAGATATGTTAGCAAAAGAGAGGTTTCAGAAATACCGAGGACTTGAATCATTTAGAACAAGTCCATGGGATCCAAAAGAAAATCTTCCTATTGATTACGGTAGAATATTTCAATTTGAAAATTTTGATCGAACTCGGAAACGGATATTTAAAGAATCTCAAGAAATAGAAGGCGCCATGGTATAATTTAAAGCACATAAAAAATTAATTATATATTTATACCAAATCATAAAAATATTTTTTTCTAGCCTGGTTGGTATATCACAATTCACGTCATGAACGTTAGGCAAGATCTTTTTATCGCATCTTGTGCATTGGAAAACCATCCATTAATTGTATTTGGTCTATTACCGAACGAGCACAAAATGTCTGTATTAAATTTAGTATTAAAACATTCCAATACTAGCCCACAACCAGTAAAATCTAAGCAAAGATTGATATTTCAATGCGGATTCAGAAGATTTATCGCATGTCCAATATTTAGTCAACATACAAATGGAAGCAAACATAAAGTATGTATTATATTATGTAAAATTTTTATACATTTCTATTTTTATATTGTATTAAAAATAAAAATGTTTTTAGTATGAACGATATTTCCGACCAGAAAGTATTGTTGTAGCAAGCATGTATGCTCCAATTACTTTTCCACCATGTCCAGTTCTGTGTTATATTGAAAAATTAAATAAATCATTGGTAAGAAACCAACAATTGTAGATTAGAATTGTTTGTATTCTTAAATCATTAAAATATAAGATATTTTTGTAGGAATTAATTGCTACTGGAAGTGTATTATCTGTAAATCCAGATAGAATAGTTGTAAAACGTGTTGTTCTCAGCGGTCATCCGTACAAAGTACATAAACGATTAGCAGTTATAAGATTTATGTTTTTCCACCGTGAAGATATAAATTGGTTTAAGCCAATTGAATTACGAACAAAATATGGTCGTAGAGGACATATAAAGGAACCATTAGGTACATAATTTGTGGTCCTTTACTTTATTTCCTAATACTTTTCCTTTAATTTATTATTTTTGTCTATAGGTACTCATGGTCATATGAAATGTGTATTTAATGGTCAACTGAAGTCGCAAGATACGATTTTAATGAATTTATATAAACGAGTATTTCCAAAATGGACATATGAACCTTTATTACTAACAGAGCTACAACATCAGAATGATAGCATGAATGTAGAATAAAATCTATTAATTGAAGTATTAAAATGTGTATATATATATATACTAAATAAAATTTTTTCATATAATTACATGTTTCAAAACATTTAATTTAATATAATTATACATATTCCTTTTAACAATATGCAACATAAATTGTAATTTTAATTAATATATATAATTTCGATATATCGCGAAATATATCACGTGACTTATAGTCTAGCCAATTAGCTTCTTTTAAATAGTATTTTGTATACTGTTTGAAAGGTAACATTGTGTGATCTGTGAAACTTAATCAAATAATTTTTAATAACGATAGTGTCGCAAAAGAGTTTGTCCAAAAAAAAAAAAAAAATGGATTTGGATACTGCTTATATTGGTAATTAGTATAAATTTATATCAATAAAAATGGCTTCAAATAAATGTAGATATTTAACACACAAAACAATGAACCTAAATTTTCTTGTTGAAAAAAATATCTACTTAATATAGAACCTTTACTTGATGATTGGCTAGAGGGACTTCAATCAATCATTAAAGAACAAGAAAATCTTATCAAAACTAGAGATGAATTTTATATGCCATTTGTAGGTAACTATTGTACTTGGAACTATATCCTTTTATTAATATTAACTTTAGTTTTATTTACAATTTTATTTTTATCTTAATACAATTCTAACAACAATATATTTATTAAATATTAATTTTAGCTATTCCAATCCCAATTGTTAATGCAATATTTAAAATAACAGAGCATCTTGATTTGGGACCAGACATTAAATATATTGCCATTCATTTATATGATAAATTTATGTGTAATTATTTTTGGGAAGTATATAGAAATGCTGACCAAACAGAAAATTCTTGGTCTCAAGTTTGTAAAACAATATCAAGTCAATCAAAACTATATCTTATGTCATGTTTGCAATTAGCAAATAAAATGGATTCACATTGTAACAACTTAAGAATATCGCAAGTACATATACATAACTTTATTTTTTAATTCAATAATAGTGAAATGTTAATTTTTTTTTTTTATAATGCAGATCCTCAGTATCTTAAGGTGCATAGATAAAAAGTCTGAATATACACACAATATAATTTTTTCATCGGAATATAAGGTTTTTAGAACTGTTGGATTCAAAATGCCATTTTGCACTCCGTTAAATTGTATAGAAATTCTTCTAGCTGCAATAGGACTCAAGGATACCCCAAATATGCAAGAACTTACTATAAACTTATTGGATTTAGTTTATTTGCAGGTTTGAATTTTTTTAGTAAGCATTTTTAGAACAGTAATATTAATATACTTAATAAAGCAGAGACATGGTTATAGAGGGAGAAATTGTATTCTCACTTGCAATGTTTAATCCAAGGACATATTGCAAGAACTCAACAAGAAAAAAGGAATCTTATGTCATTAGAATCAAATGTATTATTTCTGGGTGCTTCTATTGTTCTCTGTGGAACATTCTTCTTATGTGTAGATAGTGAGACAGCAAAAGTTATTGCATTAAAATTATCACAATTAGTAGATATAAAAATTCATGATATTTGGGATATGGCCAACATACTTCTTATAATGGCAATTCAAGAATGATTATTACAAAAAGAAAAGAAATATATATATATATGAAAGTCAATTTTCTCTTTCATACTGTATAAATTTTTAAATCAATAAATATATATAAATTGTTGAAAAATTACAATATTTTTATTATTAATTATATAATTTATTTCAAAATTCTATAGTTATTAATTATTGAAATTATAAATTTTAGATGTTTCATTTTAAATAATTTGATACGCCCTCTATATATAAATTCATAAATGAATGTAATTCTTATGAATAGAAATAGGTGAAGTATTTGATAACTACATTCTCACAAGTTATATTTTCTCATAAACTTATAAAAACATTATTGAAGCTGTAATATTTAGTACTTGTTGATTTTATTGGAAATTCTAAGTCCAAATTATTTTATATTTTTGCCTTAATATATGGTGCTTTCATTATTAGTTTTGAAAATATAAGTTTTGTTGTCAAATACATTAAAAACTTAGCTAGAGAGAAAGCTGATATTCCAATTTTTCGTAAGCGTTTAAACGTTGATTGGTTCGAGATAATATCATTTAATATATACATTTATCGTGTTTAAAAATTTCCTACTCAAGTTTCATTGTACAAAATATAATTAACACGTTGATTGCCACGGTGGTCACCAATGACCGACGCGGCACTTGTCTGCTTTTTCAAAAATTTGAATAACATAAATAAATAGAAAACATTGCGAAATTAAAAGTGTGTTATATTTTCTTTTCTTTTTTTTTTTTTATCATATTGTTTAATAATTCATTATATCCCAAGAATAACAAAAATTTTATTGTAGCCTGAGCGTAACATATAAAAAGTGCGTGTGGTAATCAACGCGTTAATGGATTAAAACAAAGCTCTAATCTGTTAAAAAATCTAATTGAGCTCGTGATAGTTTATATTTTTATTAAAATAATAAAATACAAAAATTGTACATTAAGCTATGAATTATTTATATTAAACAATTAATGTTTCATTTTTGTGACGTTCCATAAGACTAAGGATTTTGTCATATACCCAAACATTTACATGCTTGCTCCATAGGAAGTCAAGATGTGTGAAACATTTATATGGCACTAAAAATTTCTGAGCAGTAGGTAATAGATCATACAATTGATGCAAATCCTGCAAAAATATGAACAGGTGTAAAACATTCATATTAACGAAATGAAGAAATTGAAAAAACCCAAGATAGATTGAAACTCAAATTGAAACAATAAAAGGTATACAAACCTCAACATTAACTAATACATCGTTCAAACCGTAATACAAATATATTGGTATCTTGATATTGGCAAGATTATAATTCGGAGGTTGAATCTTACCATACTTCATTTTGTTACCAATGAGACCATAATCGAATTTCCGGAACTTGCCTATAAGAAAAAAGAACGCAATTTAGAAAGCAAGAAAAGATAGATTTTATAAAATTATATTACTGGCTGTTCACCTGTAGTGATTGATTGTCCATAGTGCACGAATTGCCTGGTAGATGCACCAGCAGGATCATATTGCCCAATAATAGGCACTAGTGTCTGTAAATTAAAGTCAAGTTTAATCAAAGATTATCTTATTGTAATGATTATATCGAACATTGTAATTACCCTATTAAGTTCTTTATCACCAAAGCCACCAAATACGAATATAATGTTTGTGCACACGGGTTGTGTAATTGCGTCATCGGAACACATCACTTTTGTAAGCATCTGTATAAGTTTATCTGACGGTTTAAATTCATACATACCTATCAAACTTGTTAGAACCTGTAACAACAAACAATGAGCAAATTTCACTAATTTTTGTCTCTTCCGA